ACCTGGCTGCAGGCTACAGCAGCCACCACGCGTGACTGTGGCGTGAACCCGGAAGAAGCAGACTCGACCTTCAGCCTCCTGGCCACCTGCTCCTTCTATGACCATGCGCTCCACCTCTGGGAGTGGGAGGGGAACGGAGCTTGAAATCATGAAGCCCCTTCCCATAAGGAAACCGGGAGGGAGACTGAGTGAATGCCCCGGACCACCTCATCGGAGATGCTTACTGCAGCCCTGCAGGCGCCTGTGCACTGATGGAATCCACAGTGTAGTCAGAAAAGCTGTTGACTTCTCTTAAATCAGCTTCCCTGCTAGGCCCCTGAAAATGGACTGGGTGATTCTCTCTGGCAGACAGTGGGGAAGAGACTCAGTTCCCAGCTTGCAGATTTGTTAAGTTTTTCAGGCAGATTTTGACTTTCAGCCTTTCATACTTGTTTAAGCAACTATTTATATTAAATGAAGTTTTTTGAAAAACATGACTTTATAACATGTTTAAAATGAACATTTAATGCCTCATCATGGCACCAGAAGTGCTCGTATAGATTTAGCACAGCCAGTCCAAAAATGCGAAATCCCAAAACTTTTGGAAAATCCCACAGCTGAACTCGTGATGAGTTGCATATATTATTAAAAATACTGAGCACAGGCACAGTGGCCTGTAATCCCAACACTTTGGGAGGGGCTGAGGCAGGAGGGATGCTTGAGGCCTGGAGTTCAAGACCAGCCTGGGCAACATAGCAAAACCCAGTCTCTATAAAAAGTAAAAAAAAGTTAGCCAGGTGTGGTGCACGTGCCTATGGCCCCAGCCACTTGGGAGGCTGAGGCAGGAGGATTGTTGGGCCCAGGACGTCGAGGCTGCAGTGAGCGAGGGGCAACAGAGCAAGACTCATCTCTAAAAAATAAAAAAATAATAAAAATACTGTGTAAACAATGACAACCAGTTACAGATTTGTTCCTTCTCTCATAGCTTCACTTGACTAGCCTAAAAAACATACATATTGTATAAAACTACCGTCAGGCTATGTGTATAAGGTATATATGAAACAAAATTGAATTTCATGTTTAGACTTGTATCTCACCTCCAAGATATCTCATTATGTACATGCAAATATTCCAAAATCTGAAAACTGAAATCCAAAACATTTCTGGTTCCAGGCTTTGTTTTTTTTCAAGACGGAGTTTTGCTCTTGTTCCCCAGGCTGGAGTGCAATGGCACAATCTCCACTCACTGCGACCTCTGCCTCCCGAGTTCAAACGATTCTCCAGCCTCAGCCTCCTGAGTAGCTGGGATTACAGACATCCACCACCACGCCCAGCTAATTTTGTATATTTTTAGTAGAGATAAGGTTTCTCCGTGTTGGTCAGGCTGGTCTCAAACTCCAGACCTCAGGTGATCTGCCCACCTCTGCCGCCCAAAGTGCTGGGATTAGCCATGCCTTTTTTTTTTTTTTTTTTTTTTTTTTTGAGAGTCCTGCTCTGTCACCCAGGCTGGTGGTTCCATCTCGGCTCACTGCCCTCCACCTCCCAGGTTCAAGTGATTGTCCTGCCTCAGCCTCCGGAGTAGCTGGGATTACAGGCCTGTGCCAACATGCCTGGCTAATTTTTGTATTTTTATTAGAGACGGGGTTTCACCATGTTGGCCAGGCTCCTGACCTCAGATGACCCACCTGCCTCAGCCTCCCAAAGTGCTGGGATTGCAGGTGTGAGCCACCGTGCCCAGCCCCAAGCATTCTGGATAATGATGCTCAACCTGTATTGGATCCCTGTGCAGATAAATAAAAGGGAGTGTGTGTTCCGAGTTGCCTCGGGGGTCACCAACTTGAAATATGTGAAGTCTGTAGGGAAGTCATCCCTGCAGCATCCACAGGGGTTAGCTCCCAAATACTGGACAGATGGTGACTTTAGGTGTGTGAACAAACTGGGTGTGTTACATCCAACTCCTGCCATGAGGGCTCTTGTCTCTCTGGGAGGAACTGTGGTTGAAGTACAGGCCACAATTTGTCAAATCCTCAGCATTTACTAATGCCATATAGGTGACCACAAGCAAAAAACATGCAGTTTTATCCCTTCCTTTTTTTTTTGAGACGGAGTCTTGCTCTGTTGCCCAGGCTGGAGTGCAGTGGCACGATCTTGACTCACTGCAACTTCCGCCTCCTGGGTTCAAGCGATTCTCCTGCCTCAGCCTTCTGAGTAGTTGGGACTACAGGTGCATGCCACCAGGCCTGGCTAATTTTTGTATTTTTAGTAGAGACGTGGTTTCATCATGCTGGCCAGGCTGGTCTTGAACGCCTGACCTTGTGATCCTCCCGCCTCGGCCTCCCAACGTGCTGGGATTACAGGCGTGAGCCACCGTGCCTGGCCTTATCCCTTTCTTCTTTCCTGATGATACAACACAACATGCCAATATATGTCAGATTGCAACAAGAAATTTTCCTGGGCTGGGCGCAGTGGCTCACACCTGTAATCCCAGCATTTTGGGAGGTTGAGGCGGGCGGATCATTTGAGCCCACGAGTGCTCAGCCTGGGCAGCAGAGTGAGACCCTCATCTTTGTTCCCTGGGTAATTTGGGGGATGAACTGACCAGTGTTGTCATCCGGCACAATCTGCCTTGTAAATTCTTTCTCCAAAGAGGGTCACAGTGCGGAGTCTGCATGAGAACTCTGCTTAGGTCCCTGCACTGAAATCTGTCATGTTGCACACTTTGCCATGACCTGAGGCCAAAAAACAAACACCGTCGAGCTGGCAAAGGCCTTTAATAGAAACGAGATGAGGGCAGGCCGCCCCTCCCCGGGGATGCCTCCACCTCGCAGCCCCCCGCCCCGCTAGCGCAGGAAGTTCCTGGGGTACAGCTGGAAGAGCTTGCCCTCCTGTGTGGGCTCGAAGCCGTACTTTTCCAGGTTGTCGGGGTCGAAGGTACCGTCTTTGAAGTCCTGTACGATGAGAGGCGCCACAGCTTCGCTGAACAGCTGCGCGGCCGTCAGGGGCGTCTCCTCGCCCTCAGGGGCGCGGTAGTTCACGTAGGGCTTGAGCTTGAAGCCGGTCAGATCCGGGACGACGAACTCCGGGACCATCTCCTTGATCTGCACGAATCTCCGGCCCGAGGTGAGGAAGCCGATGCCCTTGGCGCCCCGGCCTTTGCGGCCCCTGAAGCTGCGCGGGCCCCGCTTGCTCGTCCACTGGCTCATCCGGTCCGCGCCCCGGACCAGGCAGCGCGCCGCTGCGGCCAGGACGCCCATGCCGCGCCCTGCGGGAGGAGACGGCGGGTAGTCGCGGCCGCGGGAACCCGGCCAGCCCCGCCCCCGGCCGCGCGCGGCGCCCGCTCCAATCCGACAGACTCACCTGGACCGGAGACCCAGCACCAGCTCCAAGTTGCCCCTCAACAGCTCCGGCACCGACCCGACCTCGACCTCGCTCGGCTTCCGACCGCCGCGTCGCAGCAAGAGCGGCTCCGATTGGCCGCGGCCGCTGCGTCCAATAACGGCCTCAGTCTGGGAGGGGGCGTGGCCGCGGGTACTCTGCCAATGGGCGGGGCGCGCGGGTCGGGGCGGGGCGCGCGGGGCGGGGCGGGGCGCGCGGGGCGGGGCGGGGCGCGCGGGGCGGGGCGGGGCGCGCGGATGAGTGGCCGCCCTCAGCGAGGTAGTCTCTGGCGTCCTCACTGCCGGCCACTGCCTGTGTTCGTCCGCCTGGTGGCGGGCGGTGTCCCGGGAGCCCAGTCCCCCTGAGGCACTGAGGTGGCGTCGGGAGGTCGAGGAAGACGCGGGCGCTGGACTCGAGACGGACGCCGCGACCCGGCCTTTCTGACCCCTCCGCTGGGCGCCGCTCCTCTGAGCGGAGCCGGCAACCGCGCAGGGAAAGCCCGGGACCTGTAGCCGGGAGGGCCGGGGCTGTCTGGGTTCCCTGCAGGCCGGGCAGTGGTGTGGGAGGACTCGAGCCCTCGCAGTCCCCAAATTAATAATCTTGGACCCAGCACGTCTGGCTTGTGCGCTGAGCCCTCCGGCCCGGTCACCCTCGCAGGCGGCCTCTCACCCCACGCGGAAGTCGCCCCCCAGCGGCACCCCCACACCCCAGATCCACCCCCTCCCCAGCGGCACCCCCCTCCCCAGCGGCACCCCCTCCCCAGCGGCACCCCCACAGCCCGGATCCACCCCCTCCCCAGCTACACCCGCTTCCCCAGCGGCACCCCACACCCCAGATCCATCCCCTCCCCAGCTGCACTCTCTCCCCAGCGGCACCCCCATACCCCGATACACGCCCCCTCAGCGGCACCCCCACACCCCGGATCCACCCCCTCCCCAGCTGCACTCTCTCCCCAGCGGCACCCCCATACCCCGGATCCACCCCCTCCCCAGCTACACCCGCTTCCCCAGCGGCACCCCCACACCCCGATACACGCCCCCTCAGCGGCACCCCCACACCGCGATCCACGCCCCCCCTGCGGCACGCCCACAACCCGGATCCACGCCCCGCCAGCGTCACCTCCCCTCCAACAGTGCTTTTCCGGAAGGCAGCGCTGCCCCCACCCCCCGCCGCGCTGGTCCTGGCTCCTCTTGACCTGCTTGGAGCCGCCCCATCTGGCTGCTGTTGTGGGTTCCAGGACAGCCACGTGAGGGCTGTTTACAGAGGGAAGGAAGTGGCTCCTAACAGACGACAGACGCTTCTCAAAAGACACCTGCTCTTCCTGTAGAACAGACTTTTTCAGCAGGATTTTCCTTTCAGTGAAACGTGATTTAACTTGAAAAGGAACCCAGGGAGAAGTCTGAGTCCACAGCTGTCCGGGTGTGAGCCTGAGCGGGTAGAGGTGTGCCCTTGTTTGCCTCAGGCTGTCTGATTTTCTCAGGCTGTTTTTTCTGTTTCTGTCCATGGACGAAGAGAAAGATGACAGCCCAAAGGTATGTAACTCAGGGGGCCAGATCCCTGGACTTCCCAGTTGGGGGGCATTTCTGGACCCAGAGAAGGGTCCTCTTGGCGTCTGCTCTGCCGCGCTCTTTGGCCCCGTGGCTTCTTGGTGCCTGAGGACTATGGGAGTGGTGGTTCTGGCCCCTCTCTGCCGCCTGTCACAGCTGCCAGCGCGTGTTAGACGCGTGAGTTCACAGCGAGGACAGCCAGTGGTGCCCCGTGGGCATTTTTTCACGGAGTTGGGGGGGGTACAGCCAGCGGTGGCCCATGGGCATTGCCTGAGGCCTTGTCTTTTCTTCCCCTAAGGTCACAATTGCTACTTCCAGTTTTCCCTTAGGACTTTGCCTGATGATTTTGCTTAGAATCTTTTTCTTTCTTTTTTATTTTTTCCCCAAGACGAAGTCTTGCTCTGTCACACAGGCTGGAGTGCAATGGTGTGATCTTGGCTCACTGCGGCCTCCGCCTCCTGGGTTCAAGCGATTCTCCTGCCTCAGCCTCCCCAGTAGCTGGGACTACAGGCAAGCACCACCACACCCAGCTAATTATTGTATTCTTAGTAGAGACCAGGTTTCACCATGCTGGCCAGGCTGGTCTCGAACTCTTGACCTTGTGATCTGCCTGCCTAGGCCTCCCAAAGTGCTGGGATTACAGCTATGGGCCACTGTGCCGGGCCCTAGAATCTTTTTCTTATTCAAACATCTGTAGCCACATCACAAAGGCCTTTTTTCCTAAACCAGAAAACTGGACCCATTAAAGCAACAGTGAAAAGCTAGAAAAGGCTGAGCTGCTGCACTGCAGGAGAGCGTGTGACCAGGTCATGGGCCATTGTGTGATAGGCCTTCCTTGGATAATCTGTCCCAGAAGCGGTTGCTGGGCTCAGAGGGACTCACTTCCCTTCCTTAAGTGAAGGACATGGTCGTAGGTGCTTCTTTGCACCCCACTGATTGAGAGTGAGCATAGGGGTGCCCCTGTCCTGAAGCAGAAGCTCCCAGGGCTTGTATTTGCCTTCTGAACCAAGTTCAAAGGGCTCAGCTTTCTGGGCACATCCTCATTCAGTCTTGGTGCAGAATTGTGTCTTTGAAATGCGTCTGAGTGCTCTTCCGACTTCCCTGGATTTTCTTTTTTTCTTTTTCTTTTTTTTTTTTTGAGACGGAGTCTCGCTCTGTCGCCCAGGCTACAGTGCAGTGGCACAGTCTTGGCTCACTGCAAGCTCCGCCTCCCGGGTTCACGCCATTCTCCTGCCTCAGCCTCCCAAGTAGCTGGGACTACAGGTGCCCGCCACCACACCCGGCTAATTTTTGAATTTTTAGTAGAGACGTGGTTTCACCGTGTTAGCCAGGATGGTCTTGATCTCCTGACTCGTGATCCGCCCGTCTCGGCCTCCCAAAGTGCTGGGATTGCAGGCATGAGCCACCACGCCTGGCCCTTCCCTGGATTTTCTGGCATGGATGGGAGTCCTGCTTCTCTGTAGCGGGAGATGGGGGTGGGTGCTGCTTTAGGCCTCGGCTCTTGTGTGGAAACTTGCAGGCTGAACCAGTGGCCTCCCCTGCCCTATCCAGTTCCTGGCTGCCTGGGAGGAAGATGTGATGCCAGCAGGAATGGAGAGGGCTGCCTTGTCTGGCTAGTGTCTTCTTGTTTTCTCTTTCACTTCTTGGGGAGCCACCAGCATCCTCTGCTGTCGCTCACTCAGCATCCTGTCCTCACCCTCTCTTCCCTCCCTCCCGCGGACCTGGACTTCTGAAGTCCGGCTGCTCCAGGAGATGGCAGCACACAGAGCCTTCTCGGCCTCCCTCTCGGCCGCCGCTGCCTCCTTGTCTGGCATGTGAACTGGTGTTAAATGTTCTCAGAATGCAGATGGCTCATAGGGGTTTCGAGCACTGCTCCTGCTGGGGCTGAGGGGACACTAAGAGGGGGCCTTGGCCTCCCCTGTCGGCGGGCCTGCTCCCTGAGACCTGCATCCCAGGGATCGTGTCGCCAGCATGCAGGTGTGTGAGTCACGGCCCTGCCCCACTGTATCCCAGTGACCGAGGAAGCCAGATTGCTCTCTGAATGCTTCGTAGCGGGGGGCTCAGAGGACCCCGGCACCCCGGGTGAGATCACTGCTTGCTGGGTCTCCGGGGCTGCTGACTTCTCTTCTAAGTCCCAGCTCTCACCTTGCTGCTCTGAGCAAGTCTGGGCTGGGAAGCCCGTCCATGCCCGCCTGACCCCATGCTCTCTGCTGCAGGCTGGCTTCTGCCTGGGCACCGCTCTGCACTCTTGGGGGCTGTGGTTCACGGAGGAAGGTTCACCGTCCACCATGGTAATCACCTCACGCTTCCCTGGGGCCAGACCTGGATGGGCCGTTTCCTTTTTCACCTCTCCCTGCCCCCATCCCCTGGCTCATTCCTGCCAGCCTGTGGTTGGGGTGGGGGCAGGCTTAGGGCTAGGGTTAGTTTTGTGGCCTTGCTGATGGGCACCATGTCCCCACTCTTGGCCAGCTGACGGGGATTGCGGTTGGAGCCCTCCTGGCGCTGGCCTTGGCTGGTGTTCTCATTCTTTTCACGTTCAGAAGGCTTAGCCAATTTCGTGAGTATCTTGGTTCTGACTCTGGCCTGGGGGGTTGGGGGAAAGCGTGGGTGCCTTGGGATGTGTTTTGAGCCCCTGGGAGGGGTCCTCACGTCCACGGTGGGTTTGGCTAGAATCCAGTGGCCCATCTGGGCTCAGGCTGAGCACATCGGTTCCAGGAAGCCAAGTCTGTTCAGAGCCCTTTCTGTTCTCCTCTCCTGAGCAAGGCTTCAGTGGGAAGAGGGGAGAGCCCCCTTTGTTGGAGGCGAGCCTGTTACCCAGGCCCCCTTCCCTCGTGCTGTCTGAGTATGGCCGGGTACTGGCGGGGACGAGAGTACTGACTGTGCACACCTGCATGTCCAGGACCAGGCCTGTGCCACGGCTCTACCTCAGGCCGTGTCTTCATCCCCCTGCAGGACAAGCGCAGCCCACTCCTCAGTACCGGTTCCGAAAGAGAGACAAAGTGATGTTTTATGGCCGGAAGATCATGAGGAAGGTAGCTGGTGCTTGGGGCCCCAGGTTGCACACGGCTTCCCGGAGCAGGCCCCTGCGGGAGGGACCCCTCCTGCTGCGGGCTCCCCCAGTCCGGGCAGTGCTTGGCGTGTGCTACCGTGTCCCCGGCTTCCCAGCTCTGCCACCAGGCTCAGGGTTTGGGGAACGTTATAAATCGTGCCGAATGGTGTCTGCTTCCTCCAGCTGAATCCAGCGTGTTTTACCCAGAAATAAGCCCCCACCCTCTCAGGCCTCGGCTCCCCCTGGCCTGAAGGGGCAGCTCCGGGAATGTCTGTGGTGGACAGTGGCCGGAGGGGAGAGAAGGTCCCGTCTGCCCCTAGAGCGGATGTTTATTTTAACAAGAAATGAGAGCAGAAAGCTGCTTTGTAAGAACATCGCTGGGGCCCGGTGGGTGCAGAAGGCCTCACGCTCTGCCAGAGGTTTCTGACTCTGGTGCTGAGCTTGGAGGTCTCTGCCAGGCTTTAGGGTGCTGGACTGAGGACAGAATCCATCCCCTGGGATTGGAAGGGCTAAGTTCCCTGGTTACCGGCATGTGGGATCTAAGCTAAAAGCTGCGTGGCTCACTTTGAGTGTCTGGGTGGTTCCGGAACCTAGACACAGATCCCTGGGCCGGGGCTCAGGAATCCGAGTTCAACAAGCCCCGATCCGGAGAATAAGCACCCTTGGTTTAACCCTTCCTGGGCTTTGGCCAGTTGGGTTGTCAGTGGCCTCCCCTGGCCACCTCCTTGCACTCCTGAAGGGCCCAGGAAGTGCTCAACAGACCACCCAGAAGCTTCACAGAAACCACACAGACTGATCCCTTTAAAGCAATCTTTGTTACCTTTCTCTGGTTGTACAGCTAATTCATGTTCTTCACGGAAAATTGAAAAACTCGGCCGGGCGCGGTGGCTCACGCCTGTAATCCCAGCACGTTGGGAGGCTGAGGTGGGCCGATCATGAGGTCAGGAGTTTGAGACCAGCCTGGCCAACATGGTGAAACCCCGTCTCTACTGAAAATACAAAAATTAGCTGGGCGTTGTGGTGGGCGCCTGTAATCCCAGCTACTCGGGAGGCTGAGGCAGGAGAAACGTTTGAATCCAGGAGGCGGAGGTTGTGGTGAATTGAGATGGTGCCACTGCACTGCAGCCTGGGCAACAAGAGCAAAACTGCGTCTAAAAAAACAAAAAAAGAAAGAAAGAAAATTGAGAAACTCAAGAGGAGAGGGAGTGGGTGTCTGTGGCTCATCTGTTCTCATCAGCGATAAGTGCTGTGAAAGGGCAGATGAGTTAGGGCTGCTGTACGCTGGGTCTGGAACAGGCTCAGGCGGCCGAGACAGGGCGCGGGGCGATCTGTTGAGTGTCGACCATCATCCAGTGGCCCCACAGAGGACAGGGAAGTGGAGGACCTGGGAGGAAAGCCGCAAGGCCAACAGCTCTGGACCGAAGGGCAGCAGGCAGTGGTGCCCGAGTAAGGTGGCCCTGCCAGCATGCAGGGTGTGACCCAGGCCTCTGCTGTTCTGGGCAGTCAAGCAGGCAGTGCCTGAGAAAAGGGAAGAAGACTGTTCCAGATATGGGACAGGGTGGGCAGTGGCCCCAGGTCAGAGGGGAAGTGATGGGGGGAAGGTCGGTGGGGACAGTGGCGGATTTTTAAAGGGTTATAGGAAAGGGTTGTGTTGAACAGCACGAAAGCCAAGGATGGAGTGGCTGTCAGCCTTCAGGGCAGCGGGGCCGGCCGGCATGAAGCCCTGGAGCTCTGGAGGTTTGGCTGTTTGGGGACAGTGAGGATGATCCCAAGGATGTGTGGGGCTGTATCACTCACTGCCAACATCCCTCACAGGCCAGGCGGGGTGGGGAAATGGCACAGCCAGACCCCAGGAGCTGAAGCTGGGCCTGCGGGAGGCTCACAGGCAGGTTCTGAGGACTGACCCCCGTGACGAAGAGCCTGGACCTTGCGGCTTGCTGGGTCAGTGTCTGGTGTCTCCCTTGGCTCTGCAGGTGACCACGCTCCCCAACACCCTTGTGGAGAACACCGCACTGCCCCGGCAGCGGGCCAGGAAGAGGACCAAGGTGCTGTCTTTGGCCAAGAGGTACTGGGTGTCCTTCAGACCACATCCTGCTTGGGGTGCCCCCCACGGTGCTGGCCTCCTCGACCCTGAGCTGCCTGGCGTGTCGGCCGCTGACGCTGTGGGTTTTGAACCTGCCTGGTCTGCTCAAGGCTACTGTGTCTCTGCCTGTAGGATTCTGCGTTTCAAGAAGGAATACCCGGCCCTGCAGCCCAAGGAGCCCCCGCCCTCCCTGCTGGAGGCCGACCTCACGGAGTTTGACGTGAAGAATTCTCACCTACCATCGGAGGTTCTGTACATGCTGAAAAATGTTCGGTAAGAGCAGGGATGAGCCCCGAGGGCTGCTGCAGCTCCCGTCCTCCGGGCTTCTCACTGGGGACTGGCTCCAGCTTAGCTGTCTTGTGTTGGGGGATGGTTGGCAAAGCCCATCGTGGGGCTGCTGGTGTCTGTGCCCCGTGGCAGGGCCTCATGGTCTGCTGGCTCCTTCACCAGGTCTTTCTTGTTCTGTTGAACAATTTCCAGTATTTCATCTTCAGCAATGAACCCAGAGCAAGAGCGAGAACGGTGTGGTGGATCCAAAGTCTGGAGCCTGGGTTCTGCTCTGCGCTCCCGTCTTGCTGACTGGCCCCTGGACTGCACCCCTTCCAGTCCCTTGCCCAGCTCACCATCCTGGAGGCCACCTTTGCCTTCCTCCCGTGTGCGTGTGGCTCAGGTTCACGGGTCAAGAAGTTCTCTGAGCTGATGGAAAACAGGCTCATGAGAATTTCAGAAGTTGACAGTTGTGTTCGGCAGTGATGCCGTGTGGTTTGTTGGTCAGCCGCGTGGACCCATAGCACAAGGCCTGGCGCCAGTGGGGTCGGTGGCCGTGAGCTCTCGAGACTCTGGCGGAGACCGTCCTCCTCCCCTGGAAGGCCGTCCCACAGCGCCCTCTGGCTCTTGCAGGGTCCTGGGCCACTTCGAGAAGCCGCTGTTCCTGGAGCTTTGCAAACACATCGTCTTTGTGCAGCTGCAGGAGGGCGAGCACGTCTTCCGGCCCGGGGCGCCAGACCCCAGCATCTGTGTGGTGCAGGACGGGCGGCTGGAGGTCTGCATCCAGGACGCTGTGAGTCGCAGGGTGGCGGGGCACTCACCTCCACGTCTGTCATCTCAGGTTCTTAAACGTTTCCCACTGAAAAGCGAGGCAAATTTTTTATTTTAATTTCTTTGGGGGAAAACTCACCATTTTTATTTTTATTACATTTTATTTAATATCTTGAGAAAGAGTCTCACTCTGTCACCCAGACTGGAGTGCAGTGGTGCAATCTAAGCTCACTGAGGCCTCGATTTCCTGGGCTCAAGCGATGCTCATGCCTCAGCCTCTCAAGCAGCTGGGATTACAGTTGTGTGTCACCACGCCCGCCTCACTTTTAAAATTTTTTTGTAGAGATGGAGTCTCACTTGGTTGCCCGGGCTGGTCAGCAATTCCTGTGCTCAGGTAACTCTCCCTTCTCGGCCTCTCAGAGCACTGGAATTGCAGGCATGAGGCCTGGGCCTGGCAGCTGTTTTAAATGTTTCTTCCAAGTCCTCGGAATACTCCCTTTGATGGTTTAGTACTAAGTCACTGTATTGATTTGCCATGATCAATTGAGACCTTGCTCTATTTTCAGGTTTCTAACAAAATTAAATTATTTTAATTGTAAGAAAATAATTAAGGCCAAGGTGGGAAGATCGCCTGAGCCCACAGGTTGGAGACCAGCTTGGACGACATAGTGAGACTCCATCTCTACAAAAAGTAAAAAATAATTATCCAGGCATGGTGGTAGCACCTGTGGTCCCAGCTACTTGGGGGCCAAGGTGGGAGGATCACTTGAGTCTGGGAGGTCGAGGCTGCGGTGAGCTGTGTTCACGCCACTGCACCGCAGCCTGGACGACAGAGCGAGACCCTGTCTCCAAAAAAAAAAAAAAAAAAAATTCAGGTATGAATCCATGTAGGACCTCAATACTTGTTTCCTGCCTCTGTTGAATTCTGCCCTTTGAATCGCTGCTCCAGGGGTGGGAGCTGGGCCAGACCCTGCCACGGCCTCTTCGGCGTGTGTGGCTCCCCCGCAGGGTGGCGTGGCTTTGTCTGTCCAGGCAGTTGCGACCCAGACTCCTCATTGCTTGTTCCCATTTAAAGTACACACTTAGCAAACCCTGGGCTTTGTGTGATCATCGCCCTGACCTGCAGGGCTCCTGCCAACTGTGGTCCCGGCAGTGGGCACTGACCCCATGCCAGCTTCGGCACTGCCTGTCAGGGCTTCTAGACCAAAAGTGCTGCTGGGCAAAGTGTTTGGTTCTCAGGTTTGTCGCTTAGTCTGTGGCTGGACTTGATGGGTTGTTAGGAGGGAAAGGGGCTTGGTTCCCCCACCTGGGGAAGCTGGAGTCAGTAGCTTCTGAGGATGGGGCCGCCCAGCTGGTGAAGCAGAGGCTTTTGTTGCCACTCGTGCGGGGCCTCCTCAAGGACCAGAACCCGTGTCCCTCTGGCCTTTGGACTAGATGGGAGGGGCTCATGGAGGGGACTGGGGCCAGATTTGGGCAACTTCATAAATAATTTTCCTGGGTCAAGCTGAGATGAAGTGCTTACATTGTTAAATCACCAAAAGAATGTGGTTTCTTTTCTTTTTTTTTTTTTACCTAATGGAAAATTATATCAAAGTTCTGGAATTTAGGCTGGTACTAACTGAATCGGTCCTCGGAGCCCTTATAGTTAGTTCAGCAAACAAACAGGCTCTGCGAGCTTTTGCCTCAGTCCCCACCCTGAAGACGAGTCGTGAGATGGAGAGGTGGGTCTCCTCCTTCATCTCCGTTTTCCTTGCTGCTGCTTCCTGCATGTTGTACCCCTGAGGCCAGCGGGTCCATTTTGTCCCCTGCCCTCCATCTGAGGCACTTGCTGTCATGGCACCTCAGAGGTGCAGGCCTGTGGCCCCACTGCGCTGGGCTGGGCTGAGCCTCCGCCAGGCCCCGTGGTCACGGCCCGGGACCTGACGGCTCCCACTCTGCTCTCCAATCGCAGGACGGCACCGAGGTGGTGGTGAAAGAGGTTCTGGCGGGAGACAGCGTCCACAGCCTGCTCAGCATCCTGGACATCATCACCGTGAGTGCCCCGCTGCCTGGCCCTCAGAGTGCCCCTGGGTCGGCCCTGGAGGCCTGGTTTTTCTGTCTTGCCTGGGCAGCCGACAGTGGTTAAAGGCCAGTTCTCTACAGTGACGTGAGGGGAGCGGGGTTTGGTCCAGGAAGGAGGGAGGAAGGAGGAGGGAGCTTCATTCTGGCCACAGTGCATTGAAGAATAGCCGGGCATGTGGTTAAGAGTTTTGGTTGTCTCTTAAATGACTGTTTTTGAACTGGGCAATAAATGCATGTGGTTCAGCCTTCAAAAAGCACAAAGCGTCATACAGAGAAGGTGTTTTCTCCTCTCCTCAGGCCCAAGGCCCTCCCGGGGGACCTGCCACCCCTGTTTCCTGCAGGTCCTGCTGGGCTCTTCCCTGCTGGCGCCATCTTTCTATGACTTCCAGTCTTTTGCTTTTCGTTGTTGCAGTGAATGGTCTCCTGTGCCCATCGTTTCCGATACTGGAGCCTGATATGCGGGATAAATCCTTAGGGTGGACTTGCTGGGTCCCAGGGGATGCACACTCGTAATTTTGAAAGGTGCTGCCGGGCCGAGCATGGTGGCTCACGCCTGTAATCCCAGCACTTTGGGAGGCCGAGGTGGGTGGATCACGAGGTCAAGAGATTGAGACCAGCAAGGCCAACATGGTGAAACCCCATCTCTACCAAAAATATAAAAATTAACTGGGTATAGGGGCGGGCGCCAGTAATCCCAGCTACTCGGGAGGCTGAGGCAGGAGAATCACATGAACCCAGGAGGTAGAGGTTGCAGTGAGCCAAGATCAGGCCACTGTGCTCCAGTCTGGGCAACAAGAGTGAAACTCTGTCTCAAAAATAAATAAATAATAAATAAATAAATAAAAATCATGTATCATGTTGTCTCATGATTTTTAACTTTTTATTATGGGACAGTTCAAAAATGTGCAAAAATGGTAAAATCACCCCATGTGCCCAACATTCACTAGGATGATTATTTTTTCGGCAGGGTCTCGCTCTGTCGCTTACGCAGTGGCATGATCTTTGCTCATTGCAACCTCCGCCTCCAGGGCTCAAGCGATTCTCTCACCTCAGCTTCCAAAGCAGCTGAGACTGCAGGCGTGCACCACCACACCTGGCTAATTCTGTATGTTTTTGTAGAGATAGAGATGAGGTTTTGCCATGTTGGCCAGGCTGATCTTTAACTCCTGGGCTCAAGGGATCTGCCTACCTCAGCCTCCCAAAATGCTGGGATTACTGGCCTGAGCCAGCATGCCAAGTCATTAACTAGAAGTTGTTTTTTTGTTTGTTTTTGTTTTTGTTTTTGTTTTTGTTTTTGTTTTTTGAGAGGGAGTCTCGCTCTGTTGCTCAGGCTGGAGTGCAGTGGCACCATCTTGGCTCCCTGCAGCCGCCATCTCCCAGGTTCAAGTGATTCTCCTGCCTCAGCCTCCTGAGTACCTGGGATTACAGGAATGTGCCATCACACCTGGCTAATTTTTGTATTTTTAGTAGAGACGGGGTTTCACCATGTTGGCCAGGCTGGTCTCTAACCCCGGACCTCAAGTGATCCGCCCGCCTCAGCCTCCCAGAATGCTGGGATTCCAGGCCTGAGCCACCGCGCCTGGCCTATTAACTGGAATTTAATGTCTGTTTAGTCTTTTTTTCTTTGAGTAAAACCTACATGCAGTGAAACAAATCTTTAGTGTCCATTAGCTGAATTTTGCTAAATGCCTATCAACTCAAAAGAGGTGTCTGATTTTAATCTTACTCTTTTGAGTTATACCTTTTGCATTCATTATTAGCTGTGTATCGAGGTAACTTCTACCTCAGTTTCTCTAGCTTTCGTTAGAAGAGTTTTCCAGAGCTCATCAGAACCCTGGCTCGGATGCATTCAGGCAGAACCAACCGCTAGGTCCTTGCATGAAACCTCGCACTGGAGCCTGGATGGTGTCCTCTGATCTCATCCTACGTTCCTTTGCTCAGAAAGGATGTAACAAGCTCCAGCCAGACATTGGGGTGTCCAGGATGCTCACTGTGCTCCCCAGCAGATGGGCATAGGCGGGCGTTGAGCTGTTTGGGGCCTGGGGTGGAGGCATGGATGGGACCTCGGCATCTCGTTGTGCTCCCTGGGACCTGTGTATCTTCGTGAGACGCGTGGCCTGTGCTGGGGAGGCCGCCGGCCTGGGGAGGGAGAGGACACCCACTTCCTTGGAGCTGCCATTAGAAGGCCAGTGCTCATCTTCGAGGGAGCGCCCAACATGGCTTGGGCAGAGTGGGGTCCCGGCCACCAGACCCACCTCTGTGTGCCTCTTTGGAGCCTCTGGTTAGTGTGTCTCTGGAGCTATGGTGGGCTTCTCAGGGACTCCTGGATGTGTAAGGGGCACCTGTGGGCCTGAGAAAAGCTGGGAAAGGACTAGAGAAGCGTTGGTCTATGTGGATGTAAACCTGTTCGGCACGGGGCATCAGTATGCGTCCTACCTTGGATGATTCGTTTCTCTTTAAGCAAAAAGTAGCTTCACTGGGGTAGAGGCTTTCTCCGTTATTTCTTGTTCTTTCTGATCTTGATCTTGTTGTGATATTCCAGTTGGGCCTCACTTATCACAGCACAGCGATGCCTGTGGCAGGAGAGGGGAGCTGTGTGCTGAGACGGGCCCGGTTCCTCTCGGCCACTGCGACCTGTCTCGTCCGCATTGGTGTCACAGCCCCTCTCCCTTAGGGGCGGGAATGGGTCTTCCCTGAGTGTAGTAGGAGTAAAAAATGGGGGGTGGTTGGCTGAGCACGGTGGCTCACGCCTGTAATCCCAGCACTTTGAGAGGCCAAGGCAGGAGGGTCACAAGGTCAGGAGACCAAGACCATCCTGGCCAACATGGTGAAACCCGTCCCTACTAAAAATACAAAAATTAGCTGGGCATGGTGGTGGGCGCCTGTAGTCCCAGCTACTCGGGAGGCTGAGGCAGGAGAATCCCTTGAACCAGGGAGTTGGAGGTCAGTGAGCCGAGATCGCGCCATTGCACTCCAGCCTGGCGACAGAGTGAGACTCCGACTCCGTCTCCAAAAAAAAAAAAAAGAGTGATATCTGAGAGAGATAATTCTGTATTGTGATCGGTTGATCATCTGGCGTGACATCGTTTTTGTCTCATCAAACTTTTGTGTTTGTCATTTTAACAAAATTTAAATTCTTGCAAAATAACACGGACAGATTCTAAAAACATACTTAAACTTTTATCAACAGTGGCCATCTGTCCCCACACACTGAAAACGCTTCGGTTCCTTCTGAGCAGCTTTTCTTGCTGTTTCCTAACCCATCCGTTCTAGACACGCTGACTTCCTGTCGTGGGAGATGAACGGCTGCCCATGAGCGCGCAGCTGGGGAGCCGTAGCGGTGAGGCCATGGGCGGCCTCCGCGCAGTCA